ATTTAGCAGTTCTACATCTAGGTATATATTCACAAGACTTGAAAGTATATGTCCAGGCAAAAACTTACACTTGAATATTCGTAGCATTATTACTTGTAATAGCCAAAAGATGAGCTGGTTGTAGTGATACACTCCTGTAATCCTAGGTACTTAGGCTGAGGCAGGAGGATCCCAAGTTCCAGGCCAACCTGGCCAATTTATCAAGATTCTGTCTCAAAGTATAATCAAAATAAAGGTCTCAATGGTAAAGTGCTAGTGTGAAGCCCTGGATTCAATCTGCAGTACCACAAAACAAAACAAAACTGAAATAGCCAAAAGGAGAAAATCATTCGAATGTCTCTCAGTGGATGACTGAATAAGCAAAATGTAGTCCTTCCATACAATTGACCTGAATAGCAATCAAGTACTGATACATTCCTTGATGTGGACAAACCTTCAAAACACTGTGCTGAGTGAAAGCAACTAGACCCCAGAGTGCTGACATGATGCAAGTCTGGCAGCTTGGAAGAGAGGACTGGGAAGCTACTGCTTATGGTCCCAGCTTTCTTCTTAGGGTGATTAGCTGTTTTAAAATTAAGATAGTGGTCCCTGCTGCAATGCCCCGGGCTCAATTCCCAGCGTGTGTACACACACACACACACACACACACACACACACACACGCACACACACACACACACACACACACGAGTATTGTGGGGCATGGTGGTATATACCTGTAGTCCCAGCACTTGGGAGGCTGAGGTAGGATGACTGCTGTGAGTTTGAGGCCAGCCTGGGCTATATAGCAAGACCCTGTTTCCAAAAAAATAAAAAGTAGATGTTGTGGTACATGAATTACATGGCAGTAAAACTTATTTTTAAAACATATTCAGGGCCAGGGATATAGCTCGGCGGCACAGCACCTGCCTAACAAACACAAGGTCCTGAGTTCAGTTCTTAGTACCAAAAAAAAAAGGGGGGGCTCATAAAATGTGTTCACACTGAACTGTACACTCAAAAATGGCTAAGGTGGTGCGTTTTACATGCATTTCTCCACAATGGAAAGAAATTGGGGGAAAAATATTAACAGCTGAGTTATTTGTAGATGGTTTGGTTTTGTTTGAGATGGATCTTGTGTTGCACAGCTAGGCCTCAAGCTCCTGGGCTATATCCATCCTCTTGCCCGAGGCTCCTTTTTTCTTTTTTTTTTTTTTTTGAGACAAGGTCTCACTATGCAGTTCAGGCTGGCCTGGAGCTCACTTTATAGCCCAGGCTGGTTTCAAATTCGCAGTAATCCTGCCTCAGCCTCCTGTGTGCTGGGATTACAGGTGTGTACTATCACACCTGGCCCTCAGGCCCATGAGTAGGTGGGATTACAGGTGTGTGCCACTATCCGCAGCTTGAAGTTGCTATCGATGGTTAGGGAACACTAATTTTGCATTCTTTTCATTAGCAGAGCTGTAGTACTTGGAGTTGCACTGAGTTATGTTTTGAATTTTATCCTCCTGCGTCCTACCTCAGCCTCCTAAGTGCTGGGATTACAGGCATGTGCCACAACACCCGGCGGTTTAAATTTATTTACTGCCTGTCCCTTCTAGAAAAGGTTCCTGTCTTTGCCTTAGCACTCTGTGTCTTCTGCCTGGTGTCCCCTCGCCCTGCCCCAGGTTTCTCTTTGTTTTTGAAGATGCCTTTGCTTACCTCAGGCCAAGAAGAGAACAGGCCCTCCTGCACTTCCTTTCTTGGCTTCAAGTCACCCACAGCAGAGGCCGCTCGGGAGCTGGGGCTTCCACTAGGCTGTGCACCATTCGTCGTTAAATCCTTACTGCCAGGACACTTCCGTGGTGAATAGATGCGTGAATGAGGGTGACTGAAAGTACTGTGACTGCTGCTGCGAGTGCCGTCCGGTGGGAAGGCAGACTCGTAAAAAATGATAGTACGTCCTGTCCTCATCCACCTTATCCACCACATCTGGCACCATGAGACTCTGGCTCTTCTCTGGCTCTTCTCCCAAGGCAAAAGGAAAGGTAAACAGTTTGAATCAATTGAGGGCATCAAGGCACCTCCAGCAGTGCAACTAAAGACACTGGTGAAAGAGGACTTCCAGTGCTGCTGCACAAAATGGCAAGAGTGGCAGCTGCACAGCCACATTCACGCCCTGCATCTCTTTTTAATGGTGGCAGTGTCCATCGCCCAGACGAGTCACGACTATTACACAGTGTCTCTGTATTTGCCATTTTGCTTATCTGCATGTTTGCCATTCCTGACAGCAGTATGATCAACACACCACTGTAGCTGAATCTGTGCACGCGTAGTGCTCGAGTCCCACAAGTAGAATTATTGAATCACAAGTACACGTGCATGTTTAAGGTGTTCGATGGGTGTTGTCACACTGCTCCAGAAGGATTACATCTCCACCTGAAGTTTGAAGTCCCTCCTGCTTTCGTAACACAAATTTATTAAGACGGTTGAGCGTGTGACCCCTCTGCTGAGTTGTGACGCACATCAATAGAGAAGTAGTGCTCAACTGCTTGTAAGGCGAAAGCTTCAGCTGCACAGACAAAGTAAATTTTGTTTTCAGGAATTTACACGTAATTCTCTTTGTACGTTCTTTTCTTCTTCTTCTTTTTTTTTTTTTTTTTGAGGCAGGGTCTCACTATGCAGTTCAGGCTGGCCTCGAGCTCACTTTGTAGCCCAGACTGGTCTTGAACTCACAAGGATTCTCCTGCCTCCGCCTCCCAAGTGCTGGGATTACAGGCGTGCGCCACCACACCCTGCCCTGTGCATTCTATTCTGTAGACAACAGAAAGTGATAACATATTTCTCTGGCATTAAAAGCTTCGAATTGACATTGTTAGGGATTTATCCCATATTCTTGCTGCAGGACAAGCTATGTTTTCAGGAGACGTCATTGATGAGAAGTGTTGGGTCCCAGATACAGCACAGCTAATAAATACGTTCAGTAAATGGAAACACTGATAGTTTGTTCTCACTTGATTTCAAGCAGTTTTCCCTTGGAAAATGGTAGTAATACCATTTAGCCAAAGAATATGATTTTCAGGTTCATGAGACCTGAAAACATACCCAAGAAATTAAATTTTTTGGTTTGGTTTTTTAGGTTTTGTTTTTTTGAGACAGGATGTGATAGGTAGTTTAGGCTGACCTTAAACTCGCTATGTAGTCCAGGCTGGCCTTGAACTCATGGTGATCTTCCTGCCTCAGCCTCTCAGGTGTGGAAATTACAGATGTGCACCACCATATCCAGCAAAAATAAGTTTTAAAAAGATGCTAATTTTAATAAGTATAGAAGAAATGAAAAAAGAAATGATCTTTCACTTTTAGGGGGTAACATTAAAGTGTTTTTTAAAAATTGAATCAAAGTACAAGTTGATGATATGTGATTGGATCTTAAGGGATCTTTAGAATTATTATTTTTTTTTTTTTTTTCTGGTACCGACTATCGAACTCACAACCTTGTGCTTGCCAGGCAGGCACAGTGCTGCTGAGCTAAATCCCCAGCCCCGGGATCTTTAGAATTATTAAGGTTATGCCTTTTTCCTACGTACCCTAGCTTCCTCATTCATTCATATCTGTTTCCTTAGGGCTCCCATATTTCATGACCAAAGAATTTATAGTTAAATGGGTAATGCTTGCAATATAAGTGAAACATGAAATTGTACAAATATTATGAATTCACAGTTGTTTTTTAAAGGCCTACTAGAATGACTGAACTGTGCTAAATTGTAATTTTTACTAAATGGGAGGGTTATAAGTGATTTTTTTTTTCTTTCCTTTTTTTGCTTTTGGAAATTTCTGAAGATTTTTGTTTTTGTTTTTTTGCAGTGGGGTCTTCTGTATAGCTCAGGCTAGCTTGGAACTTGGAGTCAGTCCTTCTGCCCCAGCCTCCCAAGTTCTGGGATTACTGACCTGCACCATTGGCTTTTCTTTAGATGTTTGTTTATGTTGTACTGAGTGTTGAACCCAGGGCTCTCCAGGCTTTTTAAATTTTGAAATGGGGTCTTGCTGAGTTGCCCAGGCTCAAATCTGTGATCCTCATGCCTCAGCCTCCTAATTGATTACAGGCTTGTAACACTGTAACTTTAGATTTTTATAACAGACATGTATAAGCAGGAGGAAAATAAATTTAAAATCCTAAGGAAAAATATCTATTGGACTTACCCTGTAAAATATAGGTATATAAACCATTTAACTCATAAGCTTTCAAATCTGACAATAACCTGAATAACTCCTTATTGAAGAATAAGAATTACAGAAGGGAGGATATTTAATTTTGTTTATAGGGTTTATACTAAAATTTATATTTTGTTTGCATTTATGCAGACATCTGAGTTGTTTACCATTTAGCATATACTTTAAGTGTAAGGGATCAAGCCAGTAATTCCAGCACTTGAGGCTGAGGCAGCAGGATCAATGCAAGTTTGTGGCCCTCCCTGTTTCAAAAAAAATAAATGTAAGTGATCAAATTTATTTATTAAGATGGTAAATAATAAGCCATGAGCACTTTAGATACTATAACAAATACCAAACAAATTGATTCTTTTGAAGTGGTGTAATTGAGAATGTTCTGTTTTCTTTATTTATTAGTGTGTCCTTTATTTTTATTTTTTTTTCCCAGTACCGGGAATCAAACTCACGACCTCACACTTGCCAGGCAGGCACTCTGCTGCTGAGCTAAACCCCCAGTCCATGTCCTTTATTTTAGGTTGATGGGTTGATTGATTGCAGTACTGGGGATTGACACCATAGTGTTCACTTTGAGCTACGTCCCTGGCCTTTTAATTTTTTATTTTGAGACAGAGTCCTGCTAAGGACTGGGGTGTACTTCTCAGCCTCCTGAGTACTGGAATTACAGGTGTGTGCCACTGTGCCAAGCTTAGCACGTCCCACTGGGTAAGTTTTGGGTAGGGAAGTGTATATGTAAATGGATGGAAGCAGCAGCTCTGGAACTCGTGACTCCTTGTTGGAGTCCTCGTCCTCTAACCTGGCACAATCTTGTTGCAGGAGAATGACATCTTCCTGGGTTGGGAGAAAGGAGCTTGTAAGAAATGGGGAAAGAGTAAGAAGAAGTCTTCAGACCTAACTCTAGAGGAAATGAAAAAGCAGGCTGCTGTCCAGTGTCTTCGATCTGCTTCTGACGAAGTAAGTTTATGTTTATTTCCGACAGGACGAAAGGGAAGGGTGCTTTAGAAAAGTTTACAATAGGATAGTTTGCCCAGAAAAACCTGGGAGTCAGTTACTCCTTATCTTACACTGAACTGTGAACATTTTCTTTTAGGAAATTTCTAATGTATTTTATTTCATGAAACATTTTTTGAAGGTACCTTTTCAATTCAATGTTGTATTATATTTAGTCCTGTTATTATTTTGTCTATTCTTTTTGGTGTCTAAATTTTATTTCATCAAATAGTATTCTAGCAGCAGCATTACATGGCTACTAGCAGATAATTATTTATTTATGTATTTATTTATTTATTTATTTATTTATTTTGGTTTTTCTCTGGTACCAGGAACCGAACTCACGACCTTGCGCTTGCCAGGTAGGCGCTTTGCCGCTGAGCTAAATCCCCAGCCCCTACTAGCAGATATTTAGCTAGCTCTTGAGCTGGAATATTCCATGTGTGATCCCCACCCCCTGTGGTCTGTATTACTTATTTTGGATATGTTTCTAGCAAGAGCAGTATATTTTTTTGAGTTGTAATTTTTTGTCTTTAAAAAAAGTTAGGATTTTTATTCCTCTTTAATATTTCATATAAAATATTTCTCATATCTTTAGTGTCCTAAAGTAAAATAATTTTAGAATATGACCACCTATCTAAAATAATATTATTGCTGGGCATGGTGGCACACACCTGTAATCCTAGCATTCAGAAGGCAGAGGCAGGAGGTTCGCTGTGAGTTTGAATCCAGCCTGGGCTGCAAAGTAAGTTGAAGGCCAACCTGAACTGCATAGTGAAACCCTGTCTCAAAAAGACCAAAAAAAAAAAAAACCAGATATGATCTCTCCTGAAGTCAAAACTATTTAAAAATCATTTTGTTCTGACTGTGGTACTCATACATTTATGATGCGAGATGAGGTCGTGGGTCCCGACTTGCAGATGTCGGCTTGTTGAGAAAGTGCAGTGGTGGGTGCTGGAACCCCAGCTTTGCCTCATGTGATCTGGCCAAGTGTATTCAGCCTGGTGCCACCTGCTGCACCCACCACTAACCCTGCCTGGTCCACTGTCTCCCATCTCTGTTCTTCCCCAGCCCAGGATCTTCTTGCCATGTGCTCATGGCCCTGTGTAACTGGGGGTAGCACGGCCCGCACATCCTGCCACACCGTGTGTTATGGTTTGGGGCTTATTTGCAAGGGGAAACAGTAACATAATACAGGACACATACTTTATATGATTATTTATAATAGTCACCCAAAGAACGATATACAAAAGAGTGCAGGAAATCTGTCCTGCAAGAATCCAACTGAGGGCCTGGATCCCACAGAAGTGTCCTGCGTGAGTCCAGCTGAAGACCCAGAGTTGATTAATAATGCCTCCCACGAATCCAGCTGGAAGCCCAGAGCCCATAACAATACCTCATGCAGGCCTGTTTCATGGATCTGCGCTGTGAAGGCCCAAAGATCAGTGGTGGAATCTAGGAAGTCTGTGCAAGCGGAATGAAGGATCTGTGCTAGCAGGCTGAGAGATCTGGACTGGAGCCAGGAAGTGACGCTCAGAAGAACTAGAGCTCCCCTGAAAGGTACCACAGCCATCCTCAGCGACAGTGAGGCCCCTCCGATGACCAAAATGGCCGAGTTCCCATCAGGGAAGCCAAGGCAGCAAGCTTCTCCAGGAGACCAGCAGTGCACCTTCTTTCCCTCCGGAGCCAGAAAGCAATGCTCCAAGTGAGGACCAGAGCTCTTCCAAAGTGAACCAAAGACATTCTTAGTGTCAGCGAGGTCCCGAGCTCCTCGGAGGATGAAACCAGCCAAGTTCATCAGGAAAGCCATCATGACAAGCTCCTCCAAAAAATCAGTAGCTCCTTATAGCTTCCATCAGCTCCAACAGCCTTTCTCTGCTCCCAGCAGCCTCTTTAGTTCCCCAAAGCCTTTCTTCTTCTGCTCCAGGTCTGCCTCTTATGCTGCTGGCAACAGTCCCCAAGTGGGCCTCCCACACCCAGCACCACGCTTACTCACTTCAACTGGGGGTTGTAAGTTGACCACCAGTTATCAGTCCACTACACCTTGGGTCAAGGACTACGCATTGCCCATTTTTTTTTTTTTAATCTCCTTGTGCCTAGCATGAAGTATGCCTATCACATGGAAGTTCCTGAATTTCTCTTGAACTGAATCAAAAATAATTTTTTCTTGTTTATTTGTATTGGAGATTGATCTCAGAGCCTTAGCACAGAATTACATCTCCAGCCCTTTTTCAGGTTTTTAAAATTTGAGACAGGGTCTTGCTAAATGACCTCAGTTGCCCTGGCTTGGCTTGAACTTGGAATTCTGCCCCAGCTTCTGGAGAGTGCTGAGATTACAGGCCTCCACAGCTACATTCTTTTTGAAGAGCTTTCCCTTTCATCAAATCCTTTTCCTTTTTCAGCTGTCTTCTTTCTCCTCTATCCTTTTATTTTTAATGTAGAATTCCCCAAAGCTGCTGCCTCATACAGTAGGAATGTAGAAGTTACTACTTTGGCAACACAGTCAGGTAATGGCTCATTAGCACATGCAGAGTAGGACCGTAATTACTCCAAGAGGAAACCAGATGCACAGGAATCAGGGCTATTGCCCTGGAACCAAGGGCTGGAAGTGGGGCCTCAGGAGGGACCTGAATTGGAGGTCACTGTCTCCAATGACCCCAGTCTTCTGTTTGCTTCTGTTGGCTTCTGGGTGATTCCCTTCCCTGTGTTCTGGCTGTTTTATCGGCTACATAGGGAAGCATGGCCAGTCCATCCACAGCCCAGTCTGACCACTGACCTCCATACTCATACCCATTTGGCCAGAGAGAAATCACATTGGCGCTGCGTGGGCCAGGCATTGGCCCATGAATGGATAACCAGGTGTGGTGCAAGGGGCAGAGCTGGAGGTGAGGGACTGCCTGCAGAGAAGGTTGGGGCTAGGCAGTGACCGAAAGGTGCCCTCCTGGTGACACTGAGGGAGGACGTTGGTAATGTAACTAGGAGCTTCAAAAGGCATGCAGAGTGCAGATGGTCTCAACAAGTGAGAGGTTAGTGCAGGGAGTTCTTTGAGCAAAGGCCAAAGAAGCTGGTGAGTCATGATTAGGAGGAAAATAAGAGGAGAGCAGGTTCAGTCTGAGAAAGGGTGTTTCTTCTTCAGACCAAAGTTGCTGAGCAATGATTGTGGCCTTGGCCCCATGGTTAGCTGAGCACAGAGCAGCTGTGGCCTCCCTGGGGGAGGGGGAGGGGGGAAAGGGAGGAGAAGGGGCAGAGCCTTAGCATAGCAGTGACACCAGCTCCCATAGCCTGTTCTGCGTGTGTGAGGCAAGCTGGCTGGTCTGGCAGAGACCTTTGCGTCCTTAGTATATCACTTTGGAAAATGCTTCCCTATCCCTGGCTGGCACAAGGAGAACTTTATTTGGATTCCAGTAAAACACACTTAGCCTGTATTTCTCTTTTCTTCTCATTTTATAAAGGAATCACTCCACTGCTTTTTCCTACTCCTACCAAATCCACACTGTCTGAGGACATGAATGTGCCAGGTATCTGTAGGTGTTCAGCGAGTCCTGTAAGGAGAGCCCTAAGCTTGCTGCACAGCTACCTGCTGTGCTATGGCCTTTAGTTTGCAGACCCTGTAAACTAACTTCTGGGATGCAATGGAAAGAACTGACTGAAACTTTTTTTTTCCCCTCTGGTTTTCTGTTTTATGTAGTTTAGGCTGGCCTTGAACTTACTGTATCACCATAGCTGACGTTAAACTCACGGTGATCCTCCTGTCTCAGTCTCCTGAATGCTGCAGTCATAGACGTACGCCACCACACCCAACAAAATTATGTTTATAGTGACACAAAGAGCTGATGTGGTGACTTACAAAGTGTGGATCTTCCTTTTAGTATGTCTTTGTCGGCTTCGTGGAAAGAGGGGCTCAAGGAGGACCTACATATAGTTTATTTTATTTCATTGACACAGTGAGTGTGTGCCTGTATGTTGTTTTTTCCCTAAATACGTACCAAAGTTGGTAACAGCTGTTGTATTGCCCTGTACTCTCCTCCCTGGACATGTGCCCCGTGAGTTCCATGTAGCACACTTCCCACCACCACCAGTGATCACAGGGAGAGCCTGCACGCGATCCGAGTTTGTATATAGCAGGTGGAAACGCTGATGGCGCAGTCAGAGGACAGTACTTACAGGCAGCGTGAGCCTTGGTACAGGAGGTTAAGGAGTGAGATCCTGTCAAGTGAGAGTTCTTTGTTCCTACACTCGTGTATGGTGTGATCATTACAGTTGAGTGTGGACTATTCCTCTAAAAGCTATGTGGTTGTCGATTTGTTACCCAGGCAGCCCTTGAAAAATCCTGATGCTCCTGCCTCAGCTGGCATTCCAGTTGCATGCCACAGTCACCACCGAATAGAATTTTTTTGCTGGTGGAAGAGCAGGGCGCACCTTTGTGCCTTCATCTTTCGTATATGTGTTTGTGTGGTATCCAGAGGTGTATCCGCAGGAAGCCCTGCAGGGTGTCGCATTGCAGTTTGCTTGAGGCTTGTTTGGCTGTATGTATTGTCTCTTGGCCTGTTGGCTTTCACGCTGACACTAGGTAATAAGAGCATCAGAACAATGACAAGCAGCATCTGTTGAACCCTTGCACTGAGTGAGGGGGACCTTGTGAGAGGTGGCACTCCTTGCACTCCCCAGGCCAGTGGTTACAGAGTTGAGGTAGCTGCAGCAGGCCTGGCCTCAGGAAGCTTGTCCTTGTCTCTGGAGGTTCCTGCTCACCTGATTTGATGTCTTTCCCATACTAGTTTTGTACTTTTACCAAACACTGCTCAAAGGTGCATACAGATACATATTTTTTGGTATGTTCTTAAACTCTATATGTTGCAATGTCATTTAAAAATGTATCTATGTTAGAGCTGGGCATGGTGGGAGGCTGAGGCAGGAGGATCACCATGAGCTCAAGGCCAGCCTGAACTACTTCGCAAGACCCTGTC